TGTCTCCTTATGGAACGGCAAGGCAAGTTTTTATTATCATACACGGGTATGATTAATGTGCTTTATAAAAACAAGATATTAAAAAGTTAAACCAAGACAAAAAAAGCAAAATAGAGATGGGGAAAAAAACTTATTTGATTAAAAATTGCTTAGAAAATCTAAATAATATGATTAGAAGTGCAGTATATCCTTCCCCGCTTGTCCGCTCCTCCCGTGTGCCACGCCCCCTTGTTAACCCCGTGTGGATTCCCCGTGTTTATCAGCTGTTTCCAGTTGTTTTCATTATCGCTGATGGGTCTGGAACGTAACTTCCGCCATAGGCGGGGAATTACTATATATTTTAAGGCTTAAACTATATATAAAAAAAAAAGTTTATGCATATGGTCTTTCTATATCGCGGATTTTCACCTATGGCTGATGGGTCTGGATCCCCCGCCTATGGCGGAAGTTACGTTCCAGACCCATCAGCGATAGGTGAAAATTCGCGATATAGAAAGACCATATACGTAAACTTTTTTTATAGATTAAGCCTTAAAATACCACTCCCACATGCTTTAAACACATGTGAACTTATTAAAACGCACTTTGTAAACACAATATGATATGTGGATGTTGGGCTAAGGATATGAGTGACATAAAATATGAGAATTTCTGGTATCATTCGAATGTTTCTAGTAATGCACAGTGTTGGTCTTAAATTTTACTCATAATGGTCTTAAAAGGTCTTAAATTTAACTTACTGAAACCTGCAAGAACCTTGTCGGGGGTTCTGCCCATCAATGCTGCCACTGCCGTCCCTCACACATCATCTCTGTATGATGCCCTCGCTCTGGTCGTTACACTATATGAATAATGCAAGATAATCTGCTCAGGAGAAAGAAGAAGAATTTTATTCCTGGCTGTCAGTTCCCCCATCAGCCCTTCCTGCAACAAGGTTACATGCACTCAGGATTTCCTCTTAACTGCATGTTAACCTGCACAGGAGTGCAGATCTCTGGTCTCAGTGTGCTGAAACGGGTCTGTAAGCTGGGCATCCCGTCCAGGTGGGCTCAGACGTTCCCATGGGGCTCCAGCTACTGAAGATAGATAGATGGATGGATGTTCCAGGGCGGGAAATGATGCACGCTTTGCTGACCTAGTGGTCAGGAAGCGAGCTGGCCGTAGGACATACCGTGTTGTTGACAGAAGCACTGGCAGCGCCCCCAAGAGGCTTGTGTGCGCATGGCAGACAGCTGGGAGATTAGGCAGCACTGTGTCGCTTATTTACATACATCGGAAACCCGGGGACTCAAACAGATGGCAGGCGCCATCCAAACATACGGCTGGCGGCGAGCGGGGAAGGGGGCGCGGGAAGAGGGTGTAGCACACAGGGGGCGCTGGAGAGCCACGGTGTGCGGAGGAGAGAGGAGGCATGGGGGGGCCTTAACATTGAACCCTCAACACTAACCCTTTTAACACTAACCCCCAAGATTAACACTAAACCTTAAGCCACACAGGTACAAATTTAATGATACCGGTAAAGATGTTTCTTAAATGCACATGAACCTACACGCATGGTGTGGTATGAGATACTCCTTCCTCCTTTGCAGAACGATAATGGTGATGTGACCGGCTCCTACCTGGGGCCTCCTGCTCCCAGTGCCGGCATCGCCTCTCTCCCACCACTGCCCGGCCTGGTGGCCCAGGCCTCGCGGTACCACGGCCGGGAGAGCTCCATGGAACTGCGCTACCAGGGCTCTGCCACCTCTGACTTCCGTGCGGCGCGGGAGGTGCCGCAGGACTACATGGAGGCCTCCAGCAGGAGGCGACCTCGCGTGCGTCATTGAGAGAGGGGGAGGTAGGAAGAGTCCAGCTGGCTGAGGGGGCCGTGTCCAGGGGGGGTGCTCTGTGTGTGTCTGTGTAAATGTGCCTGAGACTCTGTCTGTGTGTGTCTGTGTAAATGTGCCTGAGACTCTGTCTGTGTGGGTCTAGAACACAAAACAGGATGATCACTTCTGACGCACTGATTTGCATAAAAATCTGAGGTAAAGATTGTGACCCTCAGGAGCTGCAGATCAAATTAAACCTGTTAGAGAGAATAATAACACCAGTTTTATTACATCTTTCTCTGTGGAACTGTTGTTCCTTTTTCAATAAAATCGGCTTGATATTACCTTCAGTGCGCATGACGATGAATGAAAAGTCACTGGGTCAGTAACATCTGTTCACATATAACCATAAGGTCAACTGTGCTTTTCAAACGCTAATCTGGAGTGTGCAGATTCGCATGCCTGACCTGTGCTGCATAAACTCTCACCAGGATGTGTCTGTAGGCTGTTTGATGCCACGTTCACACTACAGTGAAATTCAGCGTGTTTCCTCTGTGTTAATGTATGAGGGCTTAGCGACAGGCTGTGTGAAGACGGAGAACATGGTGTTTTTAAAAACCGACCTGCTACTGTCAGAGATGGAGGCCTGGCCTGGATGGGATGGCAGTCTTACCAGCTCAGAGCTATTCATGCTTTAGAGGGATGGAGAATTTGATTTGTGCCAGAAAATATGAATGGGGTCACGTTAAATTAGCAGCGCAAACCTGGCCTAATTGAATAAAGTGTAAATTAGAATAATCAGCCACACAAGATCAGGGGGTCATTTCTGCGAGAGGCAGCGTGTCCTGCTGGAGACGAGGACGACGATGTGTGTCACCCCCCCCCCAGGCGGCGGCGGAGAGCAGAGCCCCCGATGCTGTCGCCGTCCTCTGCTGCGAGTGCCCGTTTCTACGGAAACGCCCGAGCCCACCTTCTGGGCAGCTGTGTCTTCCCGTCTCCTCGGAAACGGAGCTCGAGCGATTGCTGTGGGTGCGACATGTCAAGATCTGGAAGCCGAAAGAGGCGCGAGTGAAATCGGGAGACGCCGGAATGTTCCATGGGGGACGGCTGAGTCGTCCTCGGATGAGAAGCACGCCGACCCGAACGCAGGCCGTCACAGCATGTGTGCTGAAGCGTTTGCAGATGGGCTGTTATTCTGCTTTGTTTATCCTCTCTTTTGTTTTGTATCGTTCGTGTGGCACCAGCGCACACAGATGTCTTCACTGGCCCGTCTGTTTTTATCTGATTATAAGATCTGATTTTCTATGATTTACTTTAGAAATACTGTCTCTTTAAAGTTATAATTTCTAGTTTTCCACAGGAGGGGTGTAAGGTCCAGGTGGCTGGTCCAGTTCAGTATCATTATGGGGTAGAAGCTCTAGAAAGTGGGAGAGGGACCAAAACTAAACCTGGCTGGTTGTCAGCTTTGGGGCAGCCCCAGTACGTCTGAATTGATGCCCCCCCACCCCCACTTCACGAGCGGCCTCTGGCCCTCAGACGGCTGGGTGGCGTGATGGGCTGCCACGTCATGCAGATGCTGGTTCTACACGTAGGGATGCCCCCCCCCCCCCTAAAGTGGCCCCTGCTCCCACCAGCAGGTGTCGTAGTAAAACCAGTTTTTTTTTTTTTTTAAAAAGAGAAAAAAAAGAAAAGAAATAAAAGCAGGTCTGGTGCCAGACGCCGTAAAAAGCTCAGACTGTGTTCATGCTACACGGCAGTGACTCACTGTGGGGGGGTTGAATCAGCCACTTCTATGAAAATTATATTTTTAAAATGAAACTATGAAAATTACGTGTTAACATGTTTTTGTAGAAACGCCCCCCCGTTGGCTGGGAGCACACCAAGCGCTTCCATGTGTTTGTACTTTGCCAGACGATGGTTTGTTCTGAATGCTGCCTTGTGTATTAAAATGCTTTTCAGCCATTTTCAGATGTCCTGTTGGCTCCCGTTGTTTGATCTGCTTTCACACTGATGCTGGAAAAGCAGGAGTCCTGTGCCGCTGATGCTAATATCATGCTAATTGCCAGCATGTCGGCAAGCCGCCGCCTCTGGCCATTTGTTCAGAGTTACTCACCTCAGGCGTGAGTCCTTAATGCTGAGCGGGAGGCCCTGTTCCAGTCCACTTCCACCGTCATATAGGTGCTGTTTGGGAACACCAGCACCACGAGTCCCTGCCTCACGCCATTTTCCCGTGTGCCGCCCTGAATCCCAGCAAACCAGGATAATCCTCACCGTGCCTTACCGGCCCAGGTAGTTGCATGTTACCATCCAGACGTGTGTCGCTTGCAAGACCAGCCAGCCAACACCTACACCCGCATGGCGAGAGCACAGAACGTGGGAGAATGTTCCGGGCCAGAGAGAGGGTGGGCGTGCCATGCGTTTCTGTGCTGCGGCACGTAGCCACGGACATTGGGCCGTGGGGCCTGGGGCGGGGCGGTGAAGAGTTGTCAACTTTGGTCAGCTGGCTGGAGTGAGACTTTCAATTTGCGACAAGTCTGCGCACACATCGATGTGTATGTGCACATTTCATTACCTTGTAAGTAGGGTTACAATGCTATTGATATAGCAAATTTTAGGTTTATATTGGAATATTATAGATTTGCTGTAAGATTTCTTGTGTGGATGTGAGTCACACGAGAACCATGAGAATTGGCAACCCAGGACGTGTGTCTGTGCTGTGGCACGTAGCCGAGGGCAGGACTTCTGCATGAACAGGGGTGGGGGGCTGCTGTGGCCCACATGGGGAGCTAGCAGGGGTCGCGGACATATCACCACCCAAACGGACGCATAAAACATTCTTCTTTAAAATGAGATTTCACAAACAGCTTTTCCATTTGTTGCATTTTTATCTATCCTTATGCCACAAACGTCAGACTCAATTAACGACTAGCCGAGCATGGCTGGGACGTCCTCCTTAACGAACCCCACTAATCACTCAATGCTTGACATTCTTAAAGAAATTTCGTCTGAAGACAGGGGCTGTTCTGTCACGCTGTCAGGATATTTTAAGGGGTAGGGGAAGGGGTTCCTTAACATCCAGAACACCAGCAAGTAAGGCTGACGTCCCAAAGTGACACGGACCGGACTGACAGAATATATGGGATGGGAACCCGGATCGTTTGGAGCCGTGACAAAAAAAAAAAAAGAAAAAGCTTGTTAGTCATAATCCATTTATTCTGCAAATACTCAGAATGATAAAATCGGTGACAGCGTCAGACACAGCAAACCTGCATTCTGCTGAAAGGGTTTAGGTTTGCTTTTCACAGTTCTAATAACCAAAGTACCGTAAATCCAGGAATACTCGCGCAAATAAAATCATCGCAAAGGTTTCTTGTGCTAAGTGGTTAATGCTTCATTAATGTATACTTATGCAACCTTTGTTTATCAGAGAGCACCTTAATTCCCTTAAAAAAAATGCAGCTTAAAAGGAATGCAGATCTGATAGAATACGGCATGATGACAGGTAAACATGATCACAATGAACAGGGCGGTACAGTTACTCACACTTGTGGCTGGTCATCGGCTGCATTGCTGGTGGTCTTGCTGGGCGTCCAAATTCTTTGCTCCGCCCCCTTTACATTTTGTAAATAAATGTGGCTTGTTGGATAGCCTGCTTCTTTTACAGTCATTTTTGATCAACTGAGCTCAGTGTACACTGGTTGAAACATGCAAGCCAGCATTAGACTTCAGCGGGCAGAGTGTGTGTTTCTCAGATCATCCCAGGCCTCCTGGACTCAAGCACTGAAGTTTGCAGAAAGCACAGCGTGGATGGATCCGTCGACCCATTAGTGACAAGGCAATAACAGCTGGGCTCACAGTATAAAAAACAGACGAAACTGGAGTAAAATTCAAGGCTGTGCTAAAAGTACTAGTTGCTTAAAACAAATATAAAAACAAAACAACAAACACATTGACATTTTTGTCATCAGTCAGGATTTAAATGCCCCTTTCCAGTTTCTTAGTGTCTGCAGCCACCACGGGCTGTTGACCTGTCCCACCTCAGTGCCCCCCTCCCCCCCGTACCACTAACACGACTGGCCCCAGGAGGTCGAGAAATGGCCCCATTAGACAGCTGGCAAGCTTCAACGCTTGCAAACCAGTTTGTTCTAAACCTCTCCTTTTCTCCCTCGATTTTAAGACAGCAGGCGGTGGGGTTGGGTATAAAGTCTCAGATCTTATAAAATGTTTTTAAAAAGCACGCTTTTTTTTTTTTTTGACTGATGCATTCGGCCCCCGACTGCTGGCGAAGGAGCCGCTTCGGTGCTGCCTGGAACCGCCGCAGCTGCCGCTTCACTCTCCTCCTGAAACACAGACACACAGCACTGCAGGCCACTCGCTCTTTGATTCTGTCCCAGACATTCATTATAGTTCTTTTGGACATTATGCACAGAAGTTTCCTTTTATGTTGCTACAAACATGCGATCATTACAGCACTAATTCAGTTTAAAATTCTAACAAATTATCTATCCCTCTCCCATAACCGAGTCCAAAAGTGTGGCAAGCCTGGGGGCCTCAATCAGGAAAGCCAGGCAGGCGACACCCTGGACAGGATGCCACCGTGGGGGGACAGGATGCCACCGTGGGGGGACAGGATGCCACCGTGGGGGGACACTCGCAACTAACTGCATGCTTTAGGACCGCACGGGGAAACCATGCAAATGAGTGTGGCTCACCATTTCAGCAGCGCACAATTCAATACATAATTTAATCGATATGCAAATCTAGACACACTGGACTAATGAACACTAGGTGAAATTCCACAATCCATTTCTAAAAGCTGATTTTGGATTGGTCGGCGTCAACAGAGGGCTCATAAACGTTCAAACTATCTGCCCTTCCTCAAGTGGCTTTATTTCCGGTTCCTCCAGGGTCCTAATAAGTCTGTATTGTATCCCACTTAGCAGAAATTTCTATATGAAAATTAAAGCACAGATAACAGGTTGTCCTTCCTATATGTCTATTGCTTTAATTAAAACCTATTTATTTTAACTGGTCAAGGCAACAGCACCAGCATAGTGTGAAGACCTACCCGAAAGACCTTTGCAGGACTTCAGCTGGGCTTCAGCTACAACAGACATGTCCTCTTTAGTAGCCAAGCCAGCTGGATACAGTACAGCTGTCATCTCCCTCGCCGTCCCATACACCTTTTTGGTCTCCTTATTCCCTGTCCGCTCAGCCCCCTTCACTGGCTCAGTGCGCAGAGCTGTAGACACACTGGCTCCTTGGTGACAGGGATCCTCCCTGATCCTCTGAGATCTGTCCCCCTCTGTCATCCCCTGGGTGTCTGAGTGGTCCCCCGGTGCCTCATTTCTCCTCCGGCTTTCCTCTTCCTCTGCAAAAACCTCCTCCTCCTCCAGCATGGCACGCTGGTAGGCTTCAAGCCATTTTAGCTGGCCGTTCTTGTATACATAGCGGCTATCCCCGAACCAGCGGACCACCTCTGGTCTCGGGAGCCCTGTCAGCGCCACCAGATGGTCGTACTGCTCACTGCCGGGCCACTGGGTGCGGGCAAACACTTGCTTGAGCATGTGCATCTGCTGCGGGGTCTTCTTGCCACGAGTGGGCGTGATGGCAGAGACACATGGGAAATGAGAAGACACCTTAAGACTCTGGGACTCCAAAATACCATCTTCCAGGTCCTTCTGGCCACTGGCTTCTGTCACTTTCAGCATCTTCAGGTTTATTTTGATGGGGTCAACCTTAGGTTTCGCACCAGGCCCACTACTCATGAAGTCTTCCATTTCTGCGTGGCCTGGCGCTCCTGGTATGAGGGCCGGTGCTTTGCAAGTTTCTGCCTTCTTGGTCACAGTGTCCTCTCGGTCATTCTCCATGTCTTTGTCCGTGCTTGCCTCTTCTTTTTTCTTTTCAGGTGCGGGTTTCTTGTGCAGCTCTGATGACCACTCATCAATTGCTTGCCCACTTTTCTTAGCCTTAGGCTGCAACTGGTCCAGGTCCTCAACAGAGGGGTGGGGGTCCAGTGCCACGCTAGCCTCTAGGACACACATCTGTCGAACTTCCTGCTCTTTGCGATGTGTGGAATGATCCAGGTTTGGAGATGGCAATTCCGGCTGCAGGATCGGTGGGCTCACTGAGGACCGGTGGGCCTTCGGGTTCTCAGTAGATGTGAGGCTGTCGGCAAAGTCCGGGACAGACCCCTTTCCAAGTAGACCCATGTCGCCAGAGCGTAGGCCTTTCAGGTTACGGTTGTGGTAGCGGCGGTCGCTGAACCACTTGCGGACCTCGCGGACTGTCAGACCTGTGATCCGGGTTAGCCGCTCCACCTCTTCCTGCTCTGGGAATTGGCTTCGGATAAAACTCTGCTTGAGGGTACCCAGCTGCTCTTGCGACTTCTTGCTCTTATAGAAGCTGGGGTCTAGGAAGCTGCTGGGAAGCATGCGAGAACTGTGGCCACTACCAGGAACTAGTGGTGATAGGTCAATCACTCTCCCATCAGTGCTGCTATTCAATCTGCTGGTAGAGCTGGTGCTGGAGTTCATTTTGCTGGTATCATTGATACTGTTAATATTAGTGGTGGTGCTAATGTTACTAGCGCTAATGCCACTGCTATTGCTAGTGCTCATAATGCTGCTGATGATGCTGCTGGTGCGGGTGCTGCTACCAACGATGCAGCTCCCACTGCTGCTGCTGCTGCTCCCAACCACGTTGACGACAACTCCCACCCCCTTGTCTGCGACCAGTGCAGCAGCTGGCTTGGCTTGCATCTGTGGTCCAGACCCTATATTTGGTTTGGGTGTGACTGCCAGGGTAACTGGACCACCCCCAACCTGGATCCCATTCGACACAACTGGCTGAGAAACAATCACTCCACTCTTGCCCTGCAAGACATGGGACACACTGCCGGGGGCTGACGTAGTCGGCATGACCGTGACTGTTGTCTGGGTCTGTCGTTGGGTGTTGTGAGAGGGGCGAAGCTGTGCCTGGGATGATTGGCGAGTGGTGGCACTGGAAGTGAGCTGGGGGGACGGTGGTTTGATGATGGTGCTGAACATCTTTCTCCGTGAGTCCTCAATCTCTTCCGGTGACCAGCTGATGCCTTGCTTTAGCCGCTGCGCCGTGAACCAAATCTTAATCTGCTCCTCAGGGTAGTTGGTGACCACTGTGAGATAACAGAGCTCAGCCTTGGTGGGATAGGGGAACTTGCTGAAGGAGGTCTTCAGGAAGCTACTGGTGTCCATAGCAGCATCGTAAGTCGGGATGCTGCACAGTGGGATCATCACTTTGGGAAGGTTCTTGGAGCTACTATCTGAGGAGGAGGAAGAGGGTGAGGAGGAAACCGCAGGTGAGGATTTCTGCAGATGTGCCCAGTTGTGGACCACCTGACCAACAGGGACTTTCAGCACTGGCACCATTGATGACCCATTGACGACCGGCACAGTGGCTGTAAGGGCACTTCTTTGGGTGGCCTTGTTATTCCCGGTGGGGGCCACCTGTGCTGCCGCTGAGTGCTCCTGCACTTCCGCCTCATTTGCCTCATCTGGAACGTGTGACACCACGATCTTCTTGTGCTCGCCCTTGCCCTTCATCATCCTCATGATGGGAGTCTTCGTGATAGAGATCTCAGACTCTGTGGGGCCCCCACCAGAGACCAGGCTCTGCTCCACGATCATCCTCCAGTCTCTCTTGCGCACCTGCAGTGTGGTGGTGGCAGTGCTGGGGTGGGCGCGGGCGTTGTGCAGGGCCAAGCCCTCAAACTTCCTGGTGGTGACTCCGCAGTCCAGACAGTGAAAGCTGGGCTCAGCCCGGAAGTCTGGGTGGCTGCTGTAGACATGGTCCAGGAATAGGTTGAGATCTCGGGATTCGAACTGGCATGGCTGGCAGCCATAACTGTCTGCCTCATGCCGCAGGGCACCCCTTTCGGGGCTGGAGGAGCTGCCATCCTCCTTCAAGTCCCATGTTGTTGTGGTGACCTTCTCCGTGGGGAGGCTAAAACCAATGCTCTTGGCTGTCAGACGGAAACAGCCTGGTGGGCTGTGGCCCTGCCTGTCAGACATGCTCGCAGCTTTCGCTGGGATCATGCAGGGAATGGTTGACTTCCTTTTGCTGGCCATAGCTACAGGAGGGCCCAGTGGGGGGAACCGGCAAAACTCTGGAACCGTTACTCCCACGAGGACCAAGTCTGAGCCACTCACTGCCAGTCGCCGTCTCCGTAGGAGAGACCGTGGCGCCTCATAGTCTTGTGTGGATTTTGAGACGTCTTCCGAGACACATGTGCTTTTAGCAGCAAACAGAATCCTGTGTTTTAAGGGAAGAGAAAAAAAGAGAAGGAGAAATACCAAATGGCAATTAAGTCATTACTCTTGTTGAAAGAATTAGGCCCAATTTGAAACAAAATCATAATTTAACGTAAGATTCTTCTGGACTATCAGGCTCATAAACAGACAGCACAACGCGAAGGCAACAGGTAGCGTGTTGGCCGAGGACGCGAGCATCATGCTTCGACATGCCGCACACATAAACAGGCCGTGTCTCCAGTGCATCTGTCTAGTGGGCAGACCATGGGAAGCCTATTTTCTCTTTCCAGCTCTCTCTCTCTCTCTCTCGCTCACAGACGGACACATACACAGTGTTGTACCACCTGTTAACAAATTTAGCTCAGTGCACTTAATTGGCTAATACTATTTATCTACATATTTAATTATTTACTTTCATGCAGACAAGCGTGGACAGAGGCACCATCTCAAATACTCCTGAGCAGCACACACGGATGACCACCCTCCACATTTCACACAGGCAAGTGATCGGACAGACCACCCCTGCCCGCTTGAGGTCCTTTCAGGACAAGGTTCATCTCTGGTTCAAGTTTTTCCGCTTGTTTTACTTAGCAACTATGTAAACCCTCCCTCTTGTGGTGATTGTTACTCTGGGCACTCTACCACATGTAGCACAGATGTAAGGAGTACACTTTAAAGCGATGACCCCCCCTTTTTCCAAACCGCTGAATTTCCACATAACAGCATGTGCCCAAAGGCGGAAGAATGTCAAAGTCACCTCCTCCCCTCCCCCTGACTGCAGTGCTCCTGCCCCCACCCCACATTATTTCATTACGAGCTGATTAACAAATGCCCTTATCCATAGCAACTCGCATATCTTACAATTTGTACAGTTTAGACAAGAGGAGGTTTTATTACAGCAATTCATATTAAGTAACATGCTCAAGGTTACAACATCAGTCTGCACTACCGAGCACTGAACCTGCAACCCATTAGTGACAAATCTGGTACCTTTAGAACTGGAAAACTACCCCTGCCCCCCTGTCTCCCTTCCCCACAACCCCCCAGCTTCATACAATCCAGAGGCCAAACTGGAGGATTCTACAAGGAGTCATGATACCAGATTGTGGTGTGTCAGTGTTTGGCTTGCCGCATGTCTCCGTGGGGCAGTGGGCTCAGGGACCAGAGTGCCTACTCCAGGTCTCAGCTTCCGCATAAATGTTCCCACCATAGCCCCCCCCGGCCATGAATAAAAAATTAAGCTGCCCCAAAAATAACACAACCCGGCAGGGCTACGGTGCCGTCCCAAACCGCCTCGCAGCTGATGGGGAATCTAGGTCAGCGTGAAGTCTCGCTCTAATCCGTCTCACGCCGCCACCGCATCCAGATGCAGGCCTTCTGGTGGCAGATCATCCTGCAGAGGGCGGGGGCATGTGGGAAGCAGAGTACAGGGTGTTCCCGAACGCAGCCTGGGTGTGTGGGATGGATGTGCGTGTAAGTGCGTCACCTGGAATTCCATCACTCAGGATAAGAGGCCCCTTAACACATCTTTTATCTTTTTGGTATTTTCTTTTGGAGTTGTTTTTTTTGGGGTGGGTGGCACAACACCTCTTCACTAAGGCCCTTCTGCTTCTGATTGCTAGACCCCACCCCAGGACCACCACAATGGTGTGACATGTGCAGGTAAACATGCCACTCGCCTGTGGCACGTCGCATTCAAGGACTATCGTCAGGGAAAGGGTGCATACCTGGGCAGGCCGGCCCGGAGCGGCCGGCGCCGGGTCGGCCCGGCTTTGAGGCCTCTCCAGTGCAGACAATGGCTGCCCTGGGAGGCCCTCCTGCCTGAAGGTCCCGTTTTGCATGACAAGCACCGAAGCCACCGGTGGGGGGTTGGGGAGCGAAACGAGGTCACGTATCAAGAAGACCCTTTATTTGCAAGAGGGAGCTGCGGGGTGCGGCAGGCAAGTGAGCACTGGCAGCGGCACCGGAAGTTTCCACGCACTGAGAGGGAGTTCCCAACATCCTGGGCTTTTCTGATAGACACGTCGGAAAAAGATGAGCACATTGGAAATGACATACTGTCGGGGTCTTTATCATGCTGTCTGGAGAGCTTCCCAAAAACAGTCTCAGCTTCCCCCCCCCCCCCCAAGAAACATCTGAAAGATGGAGATGGACGAAAGTACAGAGTTCTGCCTGTGATGGGCCAACAGCTGAGCATGGAAGAGAAGACGGGGTCACTGCGTTCCCGTTTCAGAGGGAACACGGTGTTACGCAACATGGCAGAGAAGCTGCCCTACTGGGAAGCCGTACTGCCCCCCCCCCCCCCACTCCGCGAGAGACACAAAAGGCAGCAGCAGGACTTTTGGGGGGTCAGCCGCGCGTCACGCCGGCACCGAGGGCTGTGGGGGTGGGGAGAGGAAGTGTGTGGGGGTTGGGAGTGAGATTCGACGGGGGGTGGGGGGGTGGGGCGACAGGGAGCGAGGAGGTGTGAAGAGCCGCCAGGGAGCCTGCGAGGAGCCCCGGGCCTCCCTGTCCTTTCATTCACACACGCACGAACGCACACGGTGCCTCGCTCCCCCTCCTCCGCCCCGGATAACGCCGAAGTCTCCGGAATGTTCCGCCAAGATCTGAGCGACCGCTGAACCAGGGGCAGCCTCTGAAATTAAACTACAATCACAAGGGATTCCCAAAATGAAATAAACCCCGTTGCTCCAGGAAAAGGTCCCTTTCACGCAATACATGGCACCGTGCGGCACGCCGCACTCTCCTCAGCTCCGCTCAGTGAGCCCTCGAGGGTCGGGGGTGCCTGACCATACACTAAACCCCATGCAGCTTCGATGCGACACCGGCTGGCTCAGACAGTGAGCCGTCACCGTTTCACGGTGTATCAGGGACATGGGACAAAGGGAGATTCAAGCATGGTGTCAGTGAACATGGCGATGCTGACCACGCCCATGGCATGATATTCCTGCTGGCGTCTCAAAATTGGCATTTTTTTTTAAAGGCAAAATGTCAGACTGGTATTTACCAAGTAGTCAGCCTGCCTCTGGGCAAGACGACCTGGTGTGAGAAATGCCAGTGGGCAGGTCCATGTCCTGCAGGACCCCCAACCCCACATATCCCAGACAACAGCTATGGAAACACCAGATGTGTGAGGACCATCCAGCTGCAAGTGTCCAAGGAGGCAAGAGATGTGGTGAAACACCGGCACGAGTCACGAATAACCCAGGAGATTCACCCACAAGCCTGGCTGGAAACTGCAGGGGGGCTTAGTGTATGGGTGCTAAGAAGCAGCCCTTTTATCCCCTGCGGGGGGGACAGAAAGAGAGATTGCCCTGTGAAGTAATTTTTTATAAACTTGCCCTTGTTCCTTTGGGTTTCAGCACACACAAACACGCTTTGTTATGGTCATAAACCAAACTGCGCCTTGTTCCAAATGGCAGTGAATCCAAATGAAAGCCAATAGGTTTGGCCTCATTGCTACAGCTTTGGGAAAAAAATCTGAGGGCAGGAGCATTCTTTGAGGCTCACAATGGGAACCAGTGCTCCCTGGTGCAGATCCAGCAGCAGCCTGGTCCCCTTGAACCCACTCAGGCCAGGCAACACTGCGCATCCAGCATGATTCTTTATTTGCTGGATATTTTTATTCTATATAGGTACTGAGACTGCTCTGTTCGCTGCCTGAACAGCGTATCCGGTTAAATCCCAAGGACTTTTCCCCCCCTTCCAGACTGCAGCTGTAAAGCACATGAGTGTTATATATACATCCATATTCACCTGTCGCTGTTTGATAAAGGTCACTACAGATGAGATCTTTCCTCGGAGTGGCTGGTTCGGAAGCAGCTGAACTGTTAACAGGTTGTGCAGACAGTGGCAAAGTGAGAAGCACACCACCGTGTTTTCACTGCTGTTTCTTGTTTTACATCAAGGTGCTAACATATGGTTTGCACCCCTGTCTTCCCTAAGCCAGTCCCTGCATTTCCACCTACTTGATATATATATCCTGGATAAAAACAGGCTTGGCAAGCTGCTTAATAAAAAAGAGGAGGTCACACTGGTCACTATAATTAGCATGCGAGCAAAAGTACTGGTTAAGAACAGGGACAGGCAACCTGAAGGCTGTGGGGTCGCATCCCAACAGGAGTCCTGGTGTGGCACCATTCAGCAAGGCACCGAACCTGATACTTTCCCAAAAATTCTAGATGTATAGGTGCATAATCATTGTAATCGATAAAAAGCGTCGGTTAAGCAACAAAATGTAAATGTAGCACAAGTAAACAGAGCGATAATCACACTGGAAGGTGAAGCTCTCACGTGCTGCCGTCTTTTAAAAATAAATTTGCCTTGAATATCGATAAATCTAGATATGCCAATAAAAACAGGACTTTTTATTTTGCGCTTTTAACAATCCAGCACATTAAAAAGACAACCGTTTGTTGAGTCCCTCTCAGCTAATCGTTATTCCCAGCCGCATAATCTGACCATTGTGAAGCCTGGCTTGGCGTTACCTGATCTGACTGCTTCACCATGGGCTACCATTTTGTGCGGTGGGCTCCGAGTTCACGGCGGCACAGTGATCGGCGAAGAAAGCTGGCGCCGCGATGCCACACCGGGGCAATGCCGCTTACTAATGTCGGTGATTTAGCGTTTCTTGTGAAAGCCCCTCAGTCCGTAGGTGACCGATCACGGCAAACAGAGGATGCAGCACCGGCATGTTGTCTTTGGAGCTGCCGCAAGTTTTTAGGCAAAAGGAACAATAAGGTATAATGGGAAATTCGGGAGGTGAACTTTACCCGTAATAAGACGTTACATATATCAACCGAAAGACCTCGATATTTATAGAGCTAAACAGGTGCTCCAGTACACATTATCTTCAGTAATGATACATCCAAAAACTACCTAATTGTATAAAAGCACGCAATTGCGTATCGGTCTGGGGTCTCTTCCGACTTGTTGGGCTTCTACAAGCTAACGCAGAGGCAGATGTTTAACGCGATCCCCCCAAATCCCCATCCAGCGCCCCACATGATCCCCCGGGAAAGCGCACATGCAGCGTTACAGCGTCCGACAGAGTTCTCTCGTCAAGTACGATTAAAATATGAAAGTTTGGGGCCGCGCTGCTAAAAAAAAAACAAAAAACACTAAAATGGAGAGCTGGCTGCGTGTTGCGCGTTTAATGATCCCAGTCCCGGCATAGCTGAGATTTTGTTTCACATGCTACTTTCGCGGGGAGCTTTTTTAAGGTGGATCGCACAGACTGCATGACGAATAAGAAGAAAAATGAGAAGAAGGAGAAAGGAGAGGGCTGATGCCAGCGGAGCGCCGACGGGCCGCCGTGATGTAGTATGAGTAAGCAAATGTAACACTGAGCAAATCCCGAAAACTGTAACAAAGTGGCGCGTTAACCCTTTCACCACAGTCCGTAACAGTAACTAGCTGGCGTGCAGTACGGATCGCTGCCCGCCTAGGGATCGCGGCGCAAAGTGACCATAATACGGCGGAAAAAATGGATCTGCGAGGGGGCAAGGCGCTCCTTCCCAAAAACCGTAATTGGGTGCCCTTCAACTGTCGCCATTTTATATATTGGCGACTTCATGTAAACTGGCCGGTGGAAGCGCCGCATAGGTAAATAGTCTAGGATAGTAAAGCAAGTTTAAGAGCGGCTCCAACTCCCCGGCTACGGCTGCCCGCAAATAACAGGGTAACTGTGCGCTTACCTTATAGCTGATCTCAGTCAAAACAGAAATCTTCAGCAAATAGTAAATAAAGAGTATTAGATTTGTGCTCCAGTTGGTGCCTATTGCATTGAGGGGGTGGGACCTATCTGCTCCGTTGCACCGGGTGTATGGCTACAGCTCCGGCACTGACCACGAAACGGTACATTTCAATGGCTCGTTTACTCCTGTTCATTTTGGAGAAACATTAGCGGTACCCCGATGGGGGACGAGGGGGGGTGTAGAAATTTACGGCGTCTGTGCCCGAGAAACACGTGACCGGAGTCGTCAGGCACCATAAAGCTGCCTCATGTGAGCCGATCTGGGACACGTATCCCCGAATCCAGTGCATCCCTGTCCTGGGAAGTTAGCCGGTCTCGCGGCTCGGTCCCAGGGATCGGTGCTGTAATGGTGGACTCTGTCTTGTCCTGACTTAACCGGTTAAGCCAAGACAATTAAAGAAAACGGCGTTTTCCTTTTTGTAAATCGACTTTAGTTTGTAAACAGCCCTCGTAGTAATGATGATACCCCTAGACGTATCCCTAACGAGAGAATACGGCTGCTTTTATGTTTGCAATTTTATCACTTACGTATGTATGTTGCTTATCAGAATAACTTAGGACAGGTGCCATTTGGAAAACTGTATTTGCAATATCGTAGTTATTTTATTCATAAACATGATAAGCAGGTTAATTAATTAGCGTGTTAAATATAACACAATGAATTCAGCTCCTCGGGTCCAAATCTGTGAATCCGATTAACGAGTTTTATTTATTTATAGGTGAATCCTGTATTTTATTGCATTTTGTTTGTTTAGTTTTAAATAATATTTGTAGTAGGCTGCGTAATATTTTTACGAGACTTTGTACAGACGAGCCGCGCACGTTCGCCTGCTCATACAGGAGACTAGTCGCGCCACCACTCATTATGCGTGACGGCAGCCGGGGACTAGTCTTATAGTGCCACCTAAAGACATGGGTGGGGACTGCCTTTTAGGGTGAATGGATTTTCCATTTTAACGTGGTTTTCAAATGCGCATGTGTCGTATTTCAGCAATAAATGAATCGCAATCGTGCGGCTCAGTAAGTAGCACGGGGTATGTTGGATTTGTCTTCTAATGCATTGTTATACATTTAGATTAAAAAAAAAAATATATATATATATATATATATTTTTTTTTTTTCGGGAATTGTGCGTTATAAAAAACAATGTCTTAAACCACATCAGGTTAAAAGTTATCTCCAAGATTTTTCCATTAACATATCGCCAATCATTTCGCCCCAGTGTCTTGTCTAAGACTGAGTGTGTTTAATATCCTTGGAGATTGAAAGCCACGCTATTTCGAAAGACGAAAACGAGAGGTTTAACGTTCTTCCAGTCGGGGGCACTGTTTTTATTTCTTGGGCCTTTCCGATTAAAACTAAGAGGAGTGACAATATGGTCAACGAGCCTCGGAGCCGCACTTTCAATTGGTTGAGCGCTGAAACGTCGTGCTTTCTGATTGGCTGCGAGATACGAGGTCAATCTCCACGGTACATGCGCCGAAAGCTGGCGTGTGGCATATGTGGAGTCAGCAGTGTTCGCCAGAATTAGCGAAAGGCTGCGATACGTTCAGGGTATCCGGTGTGTGTGAGAGTCAGCGAAGGGCAAGAGGCACCGAGGCCGAGCGGTTTGCAGCTTTCCCGCACAAACGTCGTTTAACCACTTGAAAAGAGTAAGAAGAAGGAGGAGCGCATTAGTCCAGAACCTCGGACTCGAGAGTCGTCGCGGAGAATGAAGAGCAGTTCAAAGAGGAAAGAAGAAGTGAATCTCGCAAACGGCGGCGTGAAGCAGTCGACATGGAGCAAAGCGTTAAGCAGCAACGCCGTATGGGAAGAGAAGGTGCGGCGGCAGACAGTTGTCCGGGCTGCTCCTCCCGTCATTGGCGGCGCGGTCACGTGGTGTCCCCGGATGTGTCTTTGGGCCGCGGGCAGCCGCGCATGTCATCCACATGCAGCACGTTTAAAAGCTCTGCAGTGCTTTTAGATTTATTAACATGGAAACCAAAGAGGTCCCTGGCCAGTCGTTTAACCTGCTTTACTTTAGTAATCGCTGTGAATTGTGAAGTAGCTCAGTGGGAAGCACTGTTTTGAATACAGAGTATATAATTATTCAGATTTGCTCCAGTGCAGCTAAGAAGTTAGTCCTAAGTTTTCATGCTGGAGTGTAAAATTTTAGAAACGTTTCCAAACGTTTGTTTTTAATTTAATCTTATTAAGCACCAGGCAACTTATTCCGTCCAACTGCGTTTATAAACGTTTGCTTTTCTGAATCCTACAATTTTAAAATGTTATCAACTAAGTCGTATGCAAAATGAATTTCGGTAAGCATAATTTAGGTTTGTGAGTTTTGAAAGATTTTCCTAGGTTTTTTTTGTTGTTAAATATTTGTTTTGCAAAATAAAACGATAATATCCTTTGTTTAAAAGAGATTCTCACTTTTTTACAGGATGAATTTTTAGACGTGATCTACTGGTTTCGGCAAATCATCGCTGTTATTTTAGGCGTAATCTGGGGAATTGTGCCTCTCAAAGGATTTCTAGGGATTGCCATGTAAGCATCTCATTCACACGCAAACAATTTTAAGTTTAAATTTTGTGTGTGTGTGTGTGCCTGTGTGTACACAGAACAAGCTTGAGTGTGTCTGTGGGATGGATGGATTGCAGTTAAGTAAACTACTTCAGTACCTGAGTGTGTGAGGCTTCAGCTTTATTGAAAACAAATTCACTGCCTTATTTATTTCTGCAATAGAAAAAAGTCCTGTGCTGTCTCTTGTTTTTCAATTATGCATTTTTCCTATCTACTAACTTAGTGTTATTTTTTTCCTAAAAAAATCATTAATATTCTGTTTGTGTTTTAAAATTTGTTTGCACCATTTTTACTTGTCTGCACTGACTCGTCTAATCTAATGAGTAACTTAGTAATTGTATGTCATTTATAATGTGAAACGTCCCTTTATTGGTATGTCCTTAGTTTTGTTCTTTTGTGACCCCTTTTGATGAGTCTCGTCTCCTCTCTCAGATTCTGCATCATCAACGCTGGCCTCCTCTACATCTACTTCAGCAGCTTCCAGCAGGTGGACGAGGAGGAGTATGGGGGCACCTGGGAGCTCACTAAGGAGGGCTTCATGACTTCCTTTGCCCTTTTCCTGGTTCGAACATCCCTATTGCTCTTTTTGCTGTGCTTTCTGTTTGATTATATTCTCCGGAAGGTCCTGTGTACGTCAGGCTGTTTTTTCAGCCTTCTGTCTGGCTTGTCTGACAGGGAGGTCCACAGAATAGCGAACACTTGTTGTCTCTGCCTCAGATGCGTGTTTTTTCACTATTGTTAGTAAGAGTATTTCACCTGTAAAGACCCCATGCTACAAAAGTCATCAGTGTAAATAATTGCTGAAAGTTGTATGTATTTGCTTCTGTTCATTTCTCAGATTGCTGTTTTGAAATTAGTAGTTTTATCCCAAACTTCAGTTGAATTAGTTCTATATTTGGGAGCATCTGCAGGGGTTGATTCACTTACTGGGGGCTCTAGTCTGACATCAGCATGGGTACTCAGGTTTTGCCCCCTTAACTAACATTGCATTTTTTGTGTTAGTTTTGTATTTTTTTGCCAGTATATGTACATTGATGCCCAGTTCAGCGAAAAGCAATGAGGCTTTCTGATACTGTCGTTTTTCCATGGACAATTTAAATTCCCTGTGTATAAATGCTCCACAGAGTTTCCTTGTTGGTCCATTTTGTGCACTCTTCAGTCTGGTTGATCCTTTTTTTTTTTTCCCTCTCTACTACTCATTTTCCCACACTTCTGCATTAGTTGTGGTAAACCACTCAGACCAGCAAAGTTTTTTTCTATGAACCCCACCCTAGGAATTTCTGGTTGAATGAAAAGTACCTACCTCAGAATAAGGTTTAAAGAAGTTCAGGAACTGCCTTGGAGGAACTACAGCCGGGCCGAGTTCCTGCAGCAGGAACATGACAGAAGTTACTGATTTCCTAAAGTTCCTGCGGTGGGAAAGTTCCTATTTATCCACCCCTGAGTGGAACTAATCTTAAATGAGCTGTCTTACCCGATCTTGACACTGATCAATTACCTGACGGCTTGACAAGCTTCCCCTGCCTCTGTCGGCAGTGACGGTCCTGTTATGAGGGCAAACGGCAGGCTAAGTGTTGACTGGAGCTATAGATTCTAGCAAAATGTCACCTTGCTCCCCACAAAATGGTTAAACGATGCTTACTTACGTGATTCTGTAACTTTACCTGTTAAAGGGCCCCTGTAACGTGCTGGGCGCCTATAATCTGCCAGGGTATCCATGCCCCTACTGTGGCTTTGGTCTCCTCTCTTCTGCTGCCACTTGTTGCTGTGCCTAATATCAGGTGGCTGCGAGCCTTGTTGTGCTCATGTTGTGTATTTTTAAATGACTTGGAGCTGTAAGTACTGCAGTACATATTTAATGTGTTGGTTTGCCTTCTGAACTGTGACATGTCTCCATGGATGTATCACCTGCCTGTGTCCTGTGTTTCAGGTCGTTTGGATCATATTTTACACGGCACTGCACTACGACTGAAGACGCGTATTGGAGGCAGGGCGGGACATCCTTATTGGTCTGAGATGCCAGGATTATGATGTCGAAGTACAAAGTCTTTCCCTGCTTCTTTCTTATTGTTACCAACCAAACAGTCTGGAAGGGAGAGCATTATGGGTACTTGACGATAAGTAACCTCAGGCAGAGGTTGTCCTGTAGATCGTCGGAACTAAAACTACACCCTCTGATCCTTCCCAGGTGGGCATGGGTTTTGACTTTTTGTCTTTTAGATTGCATTAAAACAGGAACACGTTTTAATTACATGTTTTTTGATGATGGGAGGTTAGAGACACTTAGCTTGGAGATGCCTGCACAGATTAATTTAAGTGAGTGTATAAATTAGCTGTACAACTTTGAATTTTTATCAAATCCAGAATGTATTACACAGCTGTTTCCTGTTCTCATTTGACCAAGTATATTTTTCAGTATTTTATGTTTGACTAATTGTCTTCATAAACCATTTGGAGAGTTGTAATATAATAAACTGACCTGAAAATATTCTGCAGCAGACTGCAGTGAATTATTTAATGTCTGATGTTTTGTGCAATGTGGTTTTGATAACCCTGTTTTTCAATTCATTATATTGCATTTTAGGTAATGATCATTTGTTTTATTTTTGAAATTGATGATTCAGTCCACCTGCTTTTTAATTCCTTTTCCTCATATTTGCACTGGTAGGATCTCGTTAAACGGTACTTCATAATTGATACTTTATTGATCCTGTGGGGAAATTCTGTTTACGCCCCTGCCAGTTTACCCTATGTAGGTGAGAGTAAGCTGGCTGTGAAGGGCAGCCACCTGTTGAAGCATCCAAGGAGCTGCGGGGTTAAGGGCCTTGCTGAAGGACCTGTTGATGTGCTGAGGCCAGACTTAAATCAGTGACCTTCTGATCACAGGCACCAAGGCTTAGTCCACCAAGTTACACATTGCTGCCGCCCCCCAAAAAATCAGGGGAGAGCACAAACACAGTCACCCACTACCAAAACTTAGTCAAGATTCCCACTTTTGGGGAATGTGCAGTGGTCAGCACAATCGGAGTGCAATGACAGCTGTGCCTGTGGTGAACCACCATCTCTATCACTGTATTTCCCCTGCCAGGATAGTATGACGTGGATTCCTAATATTCATATTAAGCTTTCTTCTTTACTGAACTCTGTATGCTGTGTTTTTTATGAATCCCACAACTAGAATGAATACCCTGAAACACAGGCAGGATTCTATTATTAAAACTTTATTTACATGAATGCAATCACATTTAAGTAACGGAGGGGTGTATGAATTTGGGGTGTTGAAATTCAAAGTAGTAAGACGCTACTATTTACAGGTCCATCAATTAACCGATGTCTATATTCATTAATGATTAACAGGGGCATGCTTTGTTGACGGGAGACCTTAAGCCTATAACCCCATTTCTTGTAAAGTGCGCAGCACACGTGCAGGCAATAAATTTGTTTTCGTTCAATTCAAACTGAGCCAATCAGCGAACGCGCTGTGTTGGGGGTGGGGTCAGGCTGGTGTCTCCGGTTTGACAGTGCGGAATCAGCCAATGGCGGATGACGGCGGGGATGCAGCGTTACAGCTCCGGGGTACATGTGTGGGTAATAGGTTTGTTTTCATTCAATTCAATTTGAACCAATCAGCAGGCGTATTGTGAAGGGGGTGGGGTCATGGGCGGGACCAGGCCAGAGGCTCCGCTTAGACAGCTGAAGCTCAGCCAATGGCGACAGGGCGGTAGAGTTTAGACTTCGGGGTAGATGTGCAGTCAGTTCTGAAACCATACCGATTCGGGGAAACTGGGCAGTGTGTTACGATTGTAGGAATGGCTCTGTCACAGTGTCTAGACGATTCCCCGGGACCCAGGATATTTCGGCGGGGCGGCGATCTGCACGTCCAGCAGCTGTACGATGAGAGGCACCGGCTTGCTCTGGAGGTGTTGATCGCTGACGGCTTGCAGCCCTTTTTGTCTTTTCTGGAGAAAGAGAAAATGCCCAACTTTCTCTCCGACGCCGAGATCCGGTACATTAGCAGCGCGGCCGTGGTCCCTCGCTGCGCGTCCCTGGAGGACTTGGGTCCGGAGCATTCCGTCAGCGGCTCCATGGACTGCTCCTCTGTCACCTACTTCCCTGACGTGTCGGATGTGGAACCCCCGCTGCTGGAGCTGGGCTGGCCTGGCTTCACCACCGGCTCCTTCCGAGGGGTCACCCGGGCGGTTGCCCATTTCCAGCCTAGCTACGGAGAATGTATCTACAGCTGCAAGGAAGCTGCCAGAAAGATGATCAAAAGCGCCAAGGAGGTATTGTTAATAAAGTAAACATTATACATGTCAGCCACGTGTGCACTAAAAGGATTCATTCTTGTGAAAACTGGATATTAATTGTTATGAATAAAATAAGTTTAAAGTAAAAAAAAAAAAAAATCCAAAAATCCCATGATATTCATTCCTAACACTATTTAAGCTCAAAATTGCAGTATTTCAAATTGTAAGGTATCAGGTCCCCAGGCACGCATGGTGAAAAATGTGACGTGCCCCTCCCCAGTATTTCCTTAAAAAGTGTGCTCTCTGAACGGTACTGCACACTATACAAATACTGCCACTTCTCCGTTAAAACAAAGGCCACCAGAAGACAATGCCGTGTCTCAAAGATTTAAATGCATCGAAAAGAAGCACTAGGATTTCAAACTCGTGATAAACGCACACACGCCTGCACTGCGCTCACAGGGGGGTCCCGTTTTCGATCACACCCTAAGTTAATGGGGGCCCCACCCGACACACTCGGCATGTAAATATTTTTTCATGGTTTGCATAGCATTTTTTTAAGGCTTTACTATGGGCAACACGATAGCTTGAGTTTGCCATCCGATTTCCCGAAATGTGCTACAAATAGAAATTTCATTCCCAGACAAAAAGCTGTAACTGATTTTTCGTTTCCTTGTATCAAGTAATAATTTTTGGCAGTTAAGTGCGTTAAACGCCTAAAGCGGCTTCCAGGAACGTTAAAAATGCTGGAAACTGCCCCCCTTGGGGAACAGGCGCTGTGCTGGTGTGTGTACCAACATGCCGGGGTCTCTGCCCCTCCAAGCCCTGCCCTAGTAAATCCAGTTTAGCTGCTTCCACGAAATATTCAGCTGATCACCAGGATCTATATGTAACAACATCCACAAACAATACCAGTCAATAGTCAGGACACACCTACAGAAAATCATTTATTTTTATAGCTATATATAACTTGCAAACAAATCTTTCCTTGTTCATGAGTTCTACATCACTTCCAGGTGGGCTTATGGTCGTTATTGCAAACAAATTAAAGATTTGTTTGCAAGTGTTGCAAGAAGTGTAAAAAGCCCCCAGAGCCAGCCTCAAAGAGAACCTTCACTTTCAGGCACCTCTCCAAAACTCACCCTGTGTGTTGCAGGTTATCGCTGTGGTAACCGACTCCCTGACGGATGCGGACATCTTCCGGGACCTGCAGGAGGCCTGCACGCAGCGGCGGGTCCCTGTGTACATACTGCTGGACCGGGCCTGTGTGCCGGCATTCCTGCAGATGTGCGGCAACCTGGACATCTGCCTGGATGACCTGCAGGTACTTGTCTGACCCCCGCTGTGTTGTTATTGTCATTATGAGGCTCAGTATTTTGCCTGAAGCATCCCATAGATTCACATTTAGAGCCGAATTTCCCTAAAGCAATCAGACCGGAACATCCTGGAATCATGCAGACTTTTTTGTTGCTTGTTGCTATGCCAATGGCAGTTGCCCTAATGACCTAAATGTTGATGTCTTCCCCAAAGCTCATGCGCGTGCGGACTATAACCGGGGCAACCTACTTCCTGCGGTCTGGAGCCAAGCTCACGGGGCAAGTGCACGAGCGCTTCATGCTGATCGATGGGAATCGAGTGGCCACCGGCTCCTACAGGTACGGGGTAGGCTGCCACCAGAGCTTTTCTGATAACCAGCATGTTAGCGGTCCAGCTCTGGTGCAGCAGCACCCCCTGATGGCAGGGTGAAATGACGCACAGGTGATCTGCTGGTTAGCACAGGTTACTAGTTTGTTTACTGGATCTTCCTATGTGCTTAGGTTCACTTGGACCGATGGGAAGCTGAACAGCAGCAACCTCATCGAGCTGTCGGGCCAGATATCGGAGAAATTCGATGAGGAGTTTCGGATCCTCTATGCACAGTCCCTGCCCCTGGCCTCGTACCCGCACACGCTCCCCGACACCAAGAACCGCATCAAGTCCGACTCCCTCATCCAGAAAAAAGTGCCCCCGCCTTCCCCGTTAATGCCAGCACTACAGCTGGCAAGGGCTGCCAGCACTCCCAGCCGAGCGCCACCTGCCGGAGCAGCACCCCCCAGCAGCCCAGGGAGCGGCCAGGAGAGCCCGGCATCCGACATCTCCACCATCGGGGAGGACTGGATGGAGCAGGCACATATGCGGGACGTGCTGGGTGGTGCTGGGCTGGCTGCGGGAGTAGAGCTTGCCTTTGCTGCCCCCACCTGCCATGTCGCCACCCAGACCGACTTCTCCACCGAGGAACGGTGCTCACAAACGGCTCAGGAGGCTCAGCCAGACCCGGCTGCCCCAGAACCCACCTCACTCCCCTTGACCCATCCAGGCTCACCCCCCCACAGGCTCACTATATGCCCCCCCATTCCCCGGTGCTCCCCCCCTGGTGGCCACCTCAGGGACTGCTTTCTCAAGCTCACAAAGGAGCGGCAGTACCATTACTCAGCCATCCGCTCCAAGCTCGACCACATGGTGGCACTCTTGGCCCAGAGGCGTGAGCTGGGTGACCTCACCAACCTGAATGTGGGTCCCGGCCTGCTGAGGGTGTGCAAAGAGCCAGTTCGAGGTCCAGTGGCAGACGGTCTGCTCATGTCGCCCTGGCCCAAGGCCCGATGCCTCCATTAGGGGGGTAACAGTACCCTGGCCGCCGTATATGGGGGCCTGAGCTCACATCGATCTGGGTTTATAAGCACTGAACTACTGTCTTCCCACTATTAAGCTGTACGGTACGGAGTAGCGTGGGTATTGCCGGCCTGCATGGCATCTGACATGTCCTGCTGACAAACGGTGTGGCTGCTGGGGTATGTTTCTCCTGCTGGCTGAACCCTGTCCCCTAAACCCTACATCCCTGTCCCCTAAACCCTACATCCCTGTCCCCTAAACCCTACATCCCTGTCCCCTAAACC